ATCCTCGCGACAGACCGTGCGTTCAAACGCCCATGCTTCTGTCGCCTCACCCCGGCGAAATTAGATAGCGAGTTGGCTAACCGCTGTCAGCGGCAACTGCCCATGCCGCCCGCTGTCTTGTCCGACCAGCGTCCACACAAACGCTACAAGGTATTCCAGCAATGTTTCATCATTGCAAAGCTCGATCCGCCCCACGTCAACCGTCCAGCGCCCCAGGCGCTCCCGCTCATGCAACTCGCGCATGGCGCCCTTGAACTCATCAAACCGGTGAAAACTCACCCTCGCAAGCTGCATGCACTCCATGGCAAGCAGCATCCACAGCACCCGCAACTCAAACGATTGGGCGCTTGCAAACAAGCGCAGGTACAGTTCAACGCCGGCGGCTTGGGCCACCTGGTATCCCCAATCCTCGCGAGTCTCGTCGAACTCGCGCACCACCGTCAAATGGCGCGTAACGCTGCGCACATACTCCAAGTCCACGCCACCCCAACCGGGGGGCGTGAAGATCCGAGAGCGATCCCAGTGGAACCCCAACTCTCGCTCGAACACTTCGTCTCGGGTTAGGCCGGTCCGCTCCGGTCCAACAAGTTCGGCCTTCACTTTGGCCTCCGTCTTTTCGGTGGTTCCCATACCGCTCGCCTTTCTTTCTTTCCCCCCAACACCCGTAGCGTTGGGATGTCCCCCTTCGCCGGATGGTGTCCCAGTCACACCTTCGCTGGTCACCTTCCTTGCTTCTTCCGCAGCCTCATTGGCTGCTTCGTCCGCCGCCTTCGCCGCAGCCGCTGCGATCGCCTTGGCCTCTTCGGCGCGCTTTGCCTTCGCCTTCACATCTTCGGTCGCTCTTGCCTTCTTGGCGGCTTCTTCCCGTGCCAAGTGCTGCTCGAGCAGCTTTTGCACACCCTCGGCGCCCACGGTTTGCATGGCGATCTTCACCAAGTCAGCAGCCGCTTGCTTCTTCAGCTGTCCGAGCCGTTCGCGCTTCAAGGCCGCCTTGGCCTCCCAGTCAGCATTGCGATGTGCCACTTCGTCAGCGTCCTCGCTTGGCGCCACTCCGCCGTCGTCATCTGACTCGGCTGTGAGGTCCACTACCTCCACTTGTTGCGCCGGCGCTTCGGCCTCTTCGACCTCTTCGACGCTGTCGTCGGCATCCTCGGCGATCTCGTTCGCCTTGCGCTTCTTGCGTTCGTCTGCCATCTCAATCTCAACTATCACGCACGCCACAGTTCCCTCTCATTTTTGACCACGTGATGATGGCACGTTCTGTCTTAAGTAGGGGGGGATGTAACCGTGCCCATCATCCGTTTATTAACCGGATGACTAGTGGACACCTCTTCAGTCCAAGGTGTCTCTTCTGTCCAAGGTGTCTCTTCGCACACCATCAAGTCCTCTTGCGCAACCAATGTGTTCCCCCGACGATACATCAATGGTTGGTTGCGCGTAGCTTAGTGATAGCGTAGAAGTCTTAACGCTATCAATTCATTCTTGATTCTACCATCTCCTGCGTCTTCCTCTGCGCACGCTCACAACTACAATGTACTCTATCATCGAGGCACTCCTGCACTCCACTGCTTCACCGTTGCCCCAGATAGCAGGAAGACGGTCACCGCTGCACTACGCGGCGGTGGCGGCCGGTTGTTCGTAAAATGATGAGCTGCGCTACGAGGCACAAAAATATAAGCTGTATGATTTGCAACAAGTTTGTGGGGTGGAAAGATGCGCGACCTGTAGCATATTTGCTTATTTACCGGTATTATTATTCGAAAAATGTCTCATTTGCGCACGGTAGTAAAATGGATTGCGGAGGTTTTGGTAGTCCTCCAATGGAATAGTTAAATCAGCAGCACGTCCGACACCACGAAAACTTGTGTCAAGACATGACGACGCCGTTCTTGTGCAGCAAAGAAATACCCACACGATTCACAACACACACAATACAACCCCCCACAGCTGCCCATACAGCCATCAAAGCCCCCATGAAAGTGGTCAATACAACAACCAAGACAACCACAAACGCAGCCCCTGGCGTATCCCCCAACGCAGCGCCGAAAGCAACCCGCATTGTAGCCCACAATATGGCGGTCCCGAGTACAGCCCTCAGAGCACCACGCAACGCAGTTCCCCACACAGTCTCCAAGGCAGCCTCCTATGTAGCACACAAAGTGTTAGTGTATGAAGTAGCTCACATTGTAAGATTCTATGAATTTTATACCAGTACTATATGCAGAATGTCTATTTGACATATTAACCCGGACGTGTGGACCGCCCTGCGATTCGCAGGTTGGTGGCTAAGCCAATGAAACACACGAATAGTACGATAAAGCCAGTATATTTTGGCCAATGAAACTTCCTTGTTTTGAACATCAAGCTGTAATTTAAAAAAGATATCACCATTATCGTGCGATTCGCAGTATAATAACAATAAATTCCAGCCAATAGTTATTAGGGTCATCGCAAAGTATTGTACTCACTTCAACTTTTGCGTGAGAATTGGCTTGGGATCCAACGGAAAAGACAACACGTCACATCACGAGGAAATCTTATGCCATGCATGAATACGTGAACTTATCATATTCATGATCTAGTTTCCTCCTTCGAGCGGCGCAACGACAAGATCGTCGTCGCCAGCAGCGAGAACGTCAACTTGGAGTGGTCGCGCAATAACTTGCGCGACTTCCTCCGGCGCAGGGACGGCATCCACTTCGGCAATTTGCGACGACGCGGGTACGGCAACGGCTTCGGGCGACGCCGCAGGTGTCGCGTCTTCAAGTACGATGGCATCATCCACAATGATAGCCATGTCCCATCCACCGTTGCGGGTTGGTGGTGGTGGTGGACCCCATCCGGTGTTTCGAGTTGCACTGGTGGCGAGTGTGGGCGGCGGCCGAGGTCATTTTGACGCGAGGGAGACCGTGGACGGCCGCCGCCTCGATCACCGCCACGGCTGCCGCCACGACCACCGCGGCCAGAGAACGAGTAGTCTGCGTTGCGGCGATCGTTTTAATACGGTCGGTCGTTACGGCGGTCATCGTAGTAGGGTCGTTCGTTGCGGCCGTTACGGTTGCTGGACAGACGATCCTCGTACACTTGGAAGCGGCGCTGCAATGATGCCTCGCGCTGGCGGCGACGTCGCTGAGTTGCTGTTTCACGACCTGACGGATCGGGCGCCGCCACCATCGGCACCGCTCCAGTGGCGATGGTCGTGAAGGTCATGTTGCAAAGGATTTGCATGGACATATTCGTGTTCGTCATAGCTAACCAGGGAGAAAATGGAAAGAGGCAAGACCATTCAAAATTTGTTTATATGGCAGTTGAGAGACTGCACATGAGGAAACTCAACGATTGGTAGAAAAGGTTTGCGCGTTAGGTTTATACATTGATTAAATTGTTGGGATCTAATATTCAACTGCTCCTGCAGCTCAGTGGTATGTCGTTGGGTTGGAAAGCGAAAGGTACCGGGTTCATTCCCCGCCGGTTACCTTTACAGTTACTAGGAGTTACACGTGACTGCATCCACTGCGACAAACAGGGTAATAGTGAGTTCAAGACAGACGATATTGGGACAAACGGGACAAACTGCATCCACTTATTGCATCCAAGCGCAACCAACTGCATCGAGATGCAATTATACATGTGGGACATCGGGGTCGAGCGTGTTCTCGGGAGGGTTCAAAAACAACGCCTAAGGTACATTTAAGGTAAGACTACTGTATCACATTCGGGAGCATCGGGGTTACGTGGGTTACCAGGGTCTTTTTTGGCTTGCACTCGTCACTATGACTTTTGGATGCGTTTGGATGCGCTTTGGATGCAGCGTGGGAAGTACACTTATTTGGGATTCTCAAACCTGAAAATAAACAATAATTCTTATTGTCTATTTTCAGGTTAGGTTTATACATCTATTGACATGTACCAATGAATAATTCAACTGCTCCAGTAGCGCAGTGGTATGTCGTTGTGCTTAGGAGCGAAAGGTCTAGGGTTCAATCCCAGTTGTGTAACTTTGCAGTTAAGGTTTTTATTTTTCAACTTTATGATCCGATCGCGCGATTTTCATGTATGATCGGCGGCTTATAGCTTTAAAGTAAAATGAGTCTTCTTCGCTCTGCTCGCCTTGTGTTCCATCACACTATGCTTCTTCAATCTGTACAGTTCGCTGCCTCGATCCATCTTGCCGTCCTTCTTGAAAAGGCCCTTCGGATGATAGAAAGAGTGAAATTTGTCCCAGCAGGACCACGCGGCATGGGGGCAGACGTGCGCTGGGACTTGCTGGTCGCTTGGCTCGTATGCATAAGTACACTTTGTGCACGTCGCACCACTGCGTCATAATGAGTTATTTGTTCCGCTCGAAGTAGCAAACGACACAGTAACGGCGCATACGCTGGTCGTACGACACTTCCGCTTGCTTGTCCGTCGCCCGACTAGTCAATGAGGGCGTTGGCGGCTGCCGAAGAGAAGTGTCGCGTTTCAGAGCAGCAGCTTTGTCTTTGGCTGCTGCCTTGTCGGCCGCCGCCTTTTTGAGAACCTTCGCAGACTGATTCATTGGTAGTGTGTGAGAAAGCAACGTAGCATAGAGGATAACTTACAATGTCCAATCCGATTCAAACAGCATTTGGTTCGCGAGCTTTGTCTGG